GGACAGCTGAGACATGGTGAGACTCTAGAAGATCAGCTGTGACGTGACGTGACTCTGGATGATCAGCTGTGACGTGACAGGACTCCGGATGATCAGCTGTGACGTGACGGGACTCCGGATGATCAGCTGTGACGTGACGGGACTCCGGCTGATCAGCTGTGACGTGACGGGACTCCGGATGATCAGCTGTGACGTGACGGGACTCCGAATGATCAGCTGTGACCTAACTAGACTCATGAATATCAGCTGTGACTTGACCAGACTCCGGATAATAAACTGTGACTCGATTTTACTCATGACGATCAACAGTGCCTAGACTCGACTCAGGAAGATTAGCTGTGACTTGACTTGACTCAGGAAGATTAGCGGTGACTTGACGTATCTCAGGCATTAGCCTCTGATCGGCCACAGCGGCCGGATGAAGATCAATCCTCTGTAAATGGGCAGAGTTCATGCTGTGACAGACCGTCGTGTCACGTCAGGTCTGCATTAGCAGCTCTGTTCATCACCAGTGACATTTTGGATCGTGTCAGAGAGCATAGATGATGGCTGCTTTCATGTGTTTGTGTTCAGTGTTCTGGAATGAAGGATGGAAACTGATGAATTCACTGTTTGTCAGAGGAAACGGCCGCATTGATGCATCTGCTGGGAATTAGAGCTGTGCCATTTTTCTCAATGTGTCTGTTGGGAAAGGAAGTGTGTAGTGTTGATAGATCCCACAGGTTTTAGGATCTGATGGTAACTGGTCATTAAAAGCATAACTCTCAGATGTGAGTGCTGGGCAGAACACCAACAAACTCAACACAACGTGTATTTGTAAGCAAACAGATCTTTCTGTTTCCCTCATCTGAGCCATTGGACTTAAAAACAAGTGTCAAGTGTTGCAGTGGATTCGAATCAGTCCATATGGATGTGTATTTAATAAACAGCACTGAAGGCATGAAATAAACGTGAAGAGTGAATTTCAACTGCAGCATAATCTGCCCAACTTCATTCTCACAGTCAATTTCTTTCATGTACAGAGTAAAGAGGATCGGTCTGCCATCAAAGCCATTTTCAGATTCATATTTTAAAAGAGAAACGTTTTACTATGTAAAAATATTCAAACAAACCTTAATATCAAGCTAAGATGTTAAGAAGCAACATTCACAATCAACAAATGCACACCTGTCAGAACTCCGCAATTAAAAAAAACAAACAACAACAACAATAACAAAAAAATATTTTGTAGAAAAGTAAACCATCTTTCTTCAAATAATATAGTCACAAACAATAACTGTGTTTCCCCCAATTCAGGCCTTTTGGAAAATCAGGAAGTGATACTTGTTGCCAGAAACTGGTCACATTGAATCTAGCCACTGTGCTAAATAAAAACCTTGGATTGTTTTGGTTATTTTCTATGAGTTTGTGGATATGCTCAGCCCTGGCAGCTTTTAGAGCCTGTCTATAGCTGGCCGAGATATTACTTATTGGACCAAAAAACAGTACACAGAATCTCTACAATTGCAACTAGACGGATGTACTGTTACTTCCTCTAAAGTCAAAAATCAGGGTCTTATATTAGATAGCAACTTGTCTTTTGAAAATCATATTTCCCATGTTACAAAAACATCATTCTTCCATCATAGAAACACTTACATGTTACCTATTTCTGATGCAGAAAAGCTAGTTCATGTATTCATGACCTCTAGACTGGACTATTGTAATGCACTAATAGCTGGTTGTCCTGCATCTTCAATAAATAAGATACAGGTAGTCCAAAATGCAGCGGCTAGAGTCCTTACCAGGTCAAGAAATTATGATCATATTACCCCAATTTTACAGTCTCTGCACTGGCTACCTATTAAGTTCCGTATCAGTTACAAAATATTATTACTTCCCTACAAGGCCATTAATGGGTTATCTTCTGCATACCTAACTAGTCTTCGACCACGCTACAATCCATCACGCTCCGTAAGGTCGCAAAACTCTGGACTTTTGGTAGTACCTAGGATAGCAAAGTCCACTGAAGGAGGTAGAGCTTTTTCACATTTGGCTCCCAAACTCTGGAATAGCCTTCCTGATAATGATCGGGGTTCAAACACACTCTCTCTGTTTAAATCTAGATTAAAGACATCTCTTTGGCCAAGCATTCAAATAATGCATCTCATAATATTTTACTGCAGTTATATCTAATCAAATGCACATTATTATTCGTTAGTTTGGGTTAAACAAATCAATTTTGCTTGGTTGGAACAGCAGCTACGCTAATTATGTCTCTATTTGTTTCTCTGTTTCTGCTGGGATTGACATCCCGTGGTAACTAGGATTTACACAAGCTTCAGTCTGGATCCAGAACACCTGAGAAGAGATGATGCAACTCCTCAGAGGACCTCAGATGATGCCAACCCTGAAACAACATACAGAACTACCAAACTTTGCTATAAGTTTGATTGCATCATATAATAATTGCTGTTAATAGTGTTCATCATATGTTTGATCACGTCTTTAATTAATTTTTCCGTACATTTCTGCCATATGTACATTAACTGACAGTCACCACTGATAAGCTACTACTAAATATCGTAGAAACTTACTTTTGCTTGGCAACAATTTGTATCGTGAAAAGCGCTATACAAATGAACTAGAATTGAATTGAATAAACTTATACTGGAAAAAATGCCTTCGTTACGTACACTTCATTTTTGGAAATATTGTGGACTTGATTGCACAGACACTATTGGAAGAGAACTGAACTAAGCTGGACATTACTGAATTAACTGAGTTTAACTGAAATATTGACTGTTTACTATTGTCCTTTTTTAGAGCTGCTTTACAGCAGAACTGAATTTTGTTTGCATTATTGACACACTATTTTCCTGTTTAACATTGTAAAGCTGCTTTGACACAATCTGTATTGTATAAAGCGAAACATACACTCATTACCAGCAAACACATTACATCACATACAAACATACATCACATTACCAGCAAACATACACTCGTTTTCATCCTTCTCTCCACTCCCTGTGGCAGAAGTCTCTAAACTCATCCTTTCCAATCATCCTACTACTTGTCCGCTTGATCCTATTCCATCTCATCTCTTTCAAGACATTTCTCCTGCCGTTGTACCTGCACTCACTCACATCGTTAACACATCCCTTCACACTGGTGTTTTTCCCTCAACATTTAAACAGGCTTGTATAACCCCACTTCTTAAGAAACCCACTCTTAACCCAATTCTTTTAGAGAGCTACAGACCGGTTTCCCTTTTACCTTTCATTGCAAAAACACTTGAACGAGTTGTGTTTAATCAAGTCTCAGCCTTTCCCACACAGAACAACCTCCTGGACAGCAACCAATATGGCTTCAGAAGTGGACATTCGACCGAGACTGCCTTGCTTTCATTTATTGAAGCCCTAAGACTGGCAAGAGTGGCTTCCAAATCTTCTATACTTATTTTGCTGGATCTGTCTGCTGCTTTTGATACAGTGTACCACCAGATTCTCTTGTCAACCCTATTGGAAAATGGCATCTCAGGAACCGCACGCCAGTGGTTTGAGTCTTACCTCTCAGATAGGTCCTTCAAGGTATCTTGGAGAG